ACAGTTGGACACAGAGCTGCTGTTTGGGTCCTCTATTGGCTCCTGGCTCATGTCCTGGTGCAGCATAGTGGCTGTGTTTGGCACCAACAGCAGTCCTCCTTACCGCTGGACCAACCTCATCTACTCTCTGCTCATTGTGCTGGAGAAGTACATCCAGAACCTCTTTGTTGTAGAGTCCCTGTATCGCCAGCAAGAGGATGGAGAGAGGGAGGACCCTGAGTTACCAGCTGCTCCAGAAATCTTCTCGGTGACGTCCGCTTTGGCCCCACCGTACGACGGCATCATCAACCGAGCCTACCAGACGCCAGACAGAACCTGTGTCACCATGGAGAACGACCAGGAGGAAAGCGGACAGGTGTACAGATGTCCGAGGAAACCGTCTGAGGTGCCGCTGCCTGTGGGAAACAAAGTAAAGGAGCCAACCAATATAAAGAGGCAAATCCTGAAGAACATCGCAGTCTTCCTGATAATGTGCAACATTTCGGTAGGCATTTGTACTTGTCAACTTGATAATTGAATGTAGGTGAGATGAAATTAATTTGAAGGGGACTTTGTTGTGTAAAAACTCTAAATAATAGCAATCTACTATCTGAAACATTCTATCATTTAATTACCAAATTCGTACTTAAAATTTGAACCTAAATCACCTAATTTAACGATGTGTAATGTGACAGAGATCACTCGTAGAGACCCTCAGCTCTTGGTAGCGTTTTAGCTTTTATTTTTGTTTTCACTCTCACTACTCTCATCAACCTTGTTTCCAGACATGGCTGGCAGCTATTTTTAGCAAACATGTCAGAGAAACTATTGTATGTTAACTGTCAAATTGACAGAAAATGTTAGTGACATGGTGAACATACATCCAGCAGTTAAAGAGACAGATATTTCTTTCAAGAGCAGAGCTAAGGGAGATGAGAGGTTGCCAGAAACTCGACTTGAGTGCTAATGTTGCACCATGTCTGCTAACAGGGATGCACCGATACCGATATTGGGCCGATACTGACTTTAAATAGCTGGATTGGGTATCGGTAACAATGGGGCAGATTAATTCTATGTTTGAATACTGTATACATTATATACTGTCAAGCCTGATGCTGCCTTACACATAGAAGAATGATCCCAGTCACTTCCACACAGTGAGGCATACAGCCTAATAACTAAACACTCATATTGGATTGACACCCGGTATGGGACGATACCCAAAGCCCAGGTATCGGTATCTGAACTGAAAAGGTCAGATTGGGGCATTTTTATCCTTCAGATATATTCAACTGTCTGCTAACAACTTCATACGGTGATAAAACAGTTGTGAATGTGACTCACACTTTCTCAAAACACCTTTTATTGCTTGTTTTATACTGCCATTGACTTCCTGCTGAATCCTCACTCACAATTCTTAACCGGCCTCTGGCCAGTAATAACACGGCTGAGTGCCTCTCCGCCCCCCCATCTGCTAATCTGCACCCCCAGTGAGAGGATAACAGTTTGCGATATGTACGGCTAACGCCAACAGAATGGACTGTTTGTTTGCCTAACTGCTAACAGCTAACGAACTTACCAGTACACTTGTTTCTGGCAAGATTGTATGAAGTGTCTAATACCACGACTTTGAGCCAATTGCCTGCATACATCGCCGCTTGTTTCTGAGTTTGAATGAAGTGGTTTTTTTTACGAGGTCTTGCAGGTCGTTAGTGGCTATATAGGGGATGGCCAATTGTGGGTTGTATTCATTTAATCACACAATACAGCAGTAGTTGTCGCAGACACACCTGGCAGAGATCTGCACTCTACTGAGTACAACTTTCTAGTTTAACTTCTGTCTTTCTTTCAGCTGTGGATCCTTCCTGCCTTTGGCTGCCGCCCACAGTACGACAACGGGTTGGAACAAGAGACATTTGGTTTCAGCATATGGACCACAGTTCTCAATTTCGCCATTCCTTTGAACCTTTTCTACCGCATGCACTCAGTTGCCTCTCTGTTTGAGGTGTTCCGCCGGGTCTGACAGAAAAGCAGATGACTCACAATGCCAGATTACATGCACAAGAACACTTGTCACCACCGGCTCCCGAGAGTGTCTCACAGCGCAGGTCAGCCGTTCAGGAGGCAGTCTGGGTCACACTCCAACAGACTTAAAAACAAGCTGCGGAGACAAACAGAACGAAGAGCCCTGAGTGTGGGCATGACTGAGGAGGACGGAAACTATTAGCCTGCGTTCCTTGAGGAATTATCTTGTATAATGGGAGACTTATTAAAAAGGGTGATGAAAAGGAGCATTGGTTTTAAACATTTCAAAAGGGCCCTTTGTCCTTTTGTTCGGTAGTCACATTTCAGTAGATTTTACTTACTGGTTTAGCATGGTAAAATGTACATGCTGAACCTGACACACATATTTTGTACTGTTTCATATTAGTAGTTGAAAGTGTATGATAGACTACCAACAAAATACTACAGCTAAGCCACTGAAACACCTGTTAGTCTCTTACAACTAATAGTACTGTATTCAACAGAGCCACAAGTGCATTGGTGTACAACTTGACCCATATTTTCTCTGCATGTGAAATGTTCATACTGTATATGGATATGGTTCTCAGTTAATTCTCTTCGTGGTCGAAGTCTAATGGAACAGTATGCAACACTTGAGCTACAAAGACAGTGACAATCTTAGCACTATATTTGAAATCATATTTTTGAGTTGGACTATAGTTCTCTGCCTCTCTCAGTAATTTAAGGTTCATCAATGTCCTTTTGTATGATGATTCTCTGTTCTGTCAAGTTGAATGGTAAGTTATGTTCAAAATGATGTTACTAGGTATCTGTATCCACATTATATTGAGAAGCATATGCTGAGATAACAAATCTACTGTCCAAAAATGGTCCTTTTTGTATCCTGATAACAATGAATTAATGTCTGCGTAATATGAAAAGTGTTCAAATCAGGTGCATCTACATTGTTAAAAAAATCTTGTATCACAATAGTTGCAGAATTATTATACCAAATAAATGTTGTTGTGATGACAATTTACACCAGACCAGAGATTGTATGTTTACACCTGAAAGATCAGCAATAAAAACCATCCCAGTCTGTGACATTACTTGTTTCTTTTTGATATACGGATATGCTGTATACTTGTACTGTACCATTTTGTATCAAATCAATGTATAATTTCAGTCAGTTCTCAACCTGGTGCTATCTGCTGTATGTGCTCTCACTATGTGCCAACTTGTGGTAAAATCCTTGTTTTTTAGGTGCAAACTACAATATTATATAATCTTTGTAAATACCGTCATGCTGATCAAAATCATCGTTCAGACACTGTGACACGATTTTGTAAAATTCCAATGAAATGGTGCTCTTATGAAATTATGTGTACAATAGTGATGGATGTATATCTTTTGCTTATTGAAATAAAGATTTTTTTTCTTTTTTTCATACAAGAGATGTGTCACATCTGCTCTCCTTCACACTGAGGATGTCTTTGCTGACTGTCGCTACATCGTCATTGAACAGCTGAATAGGCAGCAGCTGTAGTACACATTTACACCACAGGATGGCGCCACATATTTATGTTTTTCTTTTTTTAAGGAGTTCGATGGGACAGTCCAAAAGCCCATGTAATATATGGGCAACAACAGTTTGGATGATTGCGCAATCACCTCTTAATTAATGCCCGCTTCTTACAAAAATCTTAATGATGCAAGAGGGAAACATAAACATTGTGACACACAATCATTTTTTATGTTGTTCGTTGAATTTTTCTATATAAATTGTTATACACAGCATTATCGTATTTGGCCAGACAAACAGGTCCATAGGCATCACACGTTTAATCTTTCAGCGTAATAATAATAATAATTCATTGACTGTGGTAACATCTGAAGTGATGTCTGTATGTAAATAATGAAATGCTGTCCCGGGCACATCCCGATATTATAGGTTACTCCAGAGAATTTGGCATCGGGAGTCGGGAGATTATTTTGACGTAGTGTCACAACGATTTGACAGGCACGCAGACAGATCTAAAAATATCCGTGACGTTTCAAAGCCGGAAACGGCGCTGCTGCTGTTACGCAGACAAAGCGCAGCGCTCGGAGCTCCTGGCTCAACGTGCCGGCTTAGAGTGTGAATGTGACTCGCCTGTTTAGGGTTACTCTGACAAGTGGGTGAGCTATGACCTCCAGTCGGCGGTCGTCAGGGGGCAAACAACCACCAGTATTCAGCGATAAAAAAATATTGATTTATCCATGATAGATAGATAGATAGATAGATAGATAGATAGATAGATAGATAGATAGATAGATAGATAGATGTACAAAACACTGATGAGTTGAAGATTAAACATATAGGCTACGCTGTATTAGAGACTGTGACTTCACCAAATTTCTCTCCGAAGAGAGGGTAAGTCAAAGGACGAAGAAACGTGTTTATGCAAGAAGACTGGTCAACATGTCAAGTCGTGATAAAGTGTTTCCCCTCTATCTATATGTATCTATCTAAAATAAATAATCAGACAGACAGCACCATGGACAGCTCTGTCAGTGCAGTTCCTTTAGGCTGCATGTGAGACTAACAGCCCCCCCCCCCGATTATAAAGCATGCACTGGATGGGTGTGTCTGCAACCCTTATACAAAACATAAAATGCATTTAATGCAACCAGTAGCTGCTTATTTGTGTCCATGCAGTTCTCACACAAAGAAACTCCGCTCCACTGTTACTCCTGCCACTGCAGTGTTGTGTCAAATATGGATAATGCGCACGGAGACGATAGACAATCCATAATTGGTAGAAAGCTGTCAACTGGTTTAAAGTTTCCAATAAGACACTTTTGAGTCCCAAAAATGTTTAGGGCTTCCTCTCACCCGTTTTCTAACGCAGTGCGATAGTGTGCGTAACACCACCCCCAAAGGAGGCGTGATGTGTGCGCCCAGCTCGTGTATGGTTAGTGTGCGTTAGGCTGTAGGGACTCCCAATGCACCCACGCCGCGCTCAGGATACCTTGGACTGAGAGATTCGCAGAGGTAGCCAGGTAAGACGACCGGACTGGCAGGGCTGCAACATGTGCTCGCCACTGCGTGCTGCGTTCCAGCCCCTCAGCACACCTGGCACGTCGCTCGGCACACTTTTAAGGCGATCAATTATCTCTTTCCGTTTATTTTGCACTCCACACCAGGCTGGCAGCCGAGCAAGTCAATGGGGAGAATATGGTGAATGGCTGATGACTGCACCCGTGTCCGCGCACGGAGCAATGGACTGCAGTTTTACTTGAAGAGGCACTCACATGGAGAACCCAGCGAAGTATCTCTCATCGGTGCATGGGATTGACTCCGTGCCGGCTCCCCTCGGAGAGATTATGTGGAACAGCACCGAAACGGAGGCAACAAAAGACGGGGGAAAGGATGTAGTGGTGCGTACGCTGACGGGCTGCCTGCTGTCCCTGCTCATCATATGGACCCTGCTGGGGAACATCCTGGTCTGCTCCGCGGTGTTGCGCTTTCGACACCTGCGGACCAAAGTGACCAACATTTTCATCGTCTCCCTGGCTCTATCGGATTTATTCGTGGCCGTCCTGGTGATGCCCTGGAAAGCTGTGGCAGAGGTGGCGGGGTACTGGCCATTTGGCACTTTCTGTAACGTCTGGGTAGCTTTCGACATTATGTGCTCTACCGCCTCCATCCTCAACCTCTGCATCATCAGCGTGGATAGATACTGGGCCATCTCCAGCCCCTTCCGCTACGAGAGGAAAATGACCCAGCGAGTTGCCTTTGTTATGATAAGCATCACTTGGACGTTGTCTGTGCTCATTTCATTCATACCGGTCCAGCTAAACTGGCACAAAGCCAGCAGTGACGACATGGCTGGGACGCACAACTCTTCCACGAGTCCGCATATAGAGGAAAACTGTGACTCCAGCTTGAGCAGAGAGTATGCTATATCCTCCTCTTTGATAAGTTTCTATATTCCCGTGGCAATTATGATTGTGACTTACACCAGAATATACCGGATTGCACAAATACAAATAAGAAGAATAGCCTCCCTGGAGAGAGCAGCAGAGCACGCGCAAAGTTGCAGGACAAACAGAATTGAGTGCCAACACCACAACACCTTGAAAACGTCGATTAAACGGGAAACCAAAGTGTTCAAAACTCTGTCGGTGATTATGGGTGTCTTTGTGTGTTGCTGGTTACCTTTCTTCATCCTCAACTGTATGGTCCCGTTCTGCGACAGACCGGCCACTGACCGGGACGCTGGTCTGCCCTGCGTCAGCGAGACGACCTTCGATGTCTTCGTGTGGTTCGGCTGGACCAACTCCTCCCTGAACCCCATCATTTACGCCTTCAACGCCGAGTTCAGGAAGGCATTCGCCAGCCTCTTGGGCTGTCGCAATTTCTGCTCCAACACACCAGTGGAAACTGTTAACATCAGCAACGAGCTGGTCTCATACAATCATGACACCCTCATCCACAAGGAAATTGCGAATGCATATGTCAACATGATCCCCAACGTGGTTGAATGTATTGAGCATGAAGAGACTTTCGACAGGATTTCACAGTTTTCTCACAACGAAAACGCCACCGATTCGGTTTGTGACTTGGAGGACTGTGAGGCAGATATCAGTCTTGACAGGATGTCACCGTTCACACCCAACGGATTACACTAACTCCAACTCTGTCTCCCCGTGCGTATTTGGATGTATTGATAATAAGTCATCGCTCATTCACCTCCTTTGTCCCGGAAGTTGTTCAACACAAGAAGCCCCCAGCTCACGGCCCACTGAGCCGAGCAGCTGATGAGGGATGAAGTGATTTGCTCATGGACACTTCAGCAGGGCGCATACGTCTCTGTAGCCACCTAGGCCATCCTGCCCCCGCATTGCGTCATGTAGGACATGTGATGTTGTTGTCCTGTTCTGAAAAAAACAAAGTGATGTGTTGGTGTTTATTTACATGACAAGTGAAGTCTGTGTTCATTTGTCTATAGGTTCGGTGTCGTTGAAGCTGTTGTTTACCGGAAGGCTTTAGTCGGAGCGTCCGCGTCTCATGTCCATCCACTTGGAAGGAAAAAATAATGTTTGTAAAAATGGAAACTTTTTGCTGCTTAAAACCATAGTATATCCAGTGCCCGCCTTTCCACTGAGTAAGAAAACTGAGGGAAGCCTTACAGACAGTGCAACCAAGATAGTTCTACTCAAATGCAGTCATTTCAGCGCCTTATCTTATTTAAGGAAGTGTTTTGAGACGTGAAAGGAATGTGTTGTACGAAGTAACATGATGCCAAAATGCAGTATTAACGTGTCTACCCACTGCAGCCCCCCAACGACTCCCTCAGCACCCTCTCTGCACCATATATGGGCTGTTCTGCAGTTTGATCAAGGCTCAGATGGCTTTGATGGAGCAAATGTAAAATGTACAAAACTTAATGGTATATGAACGTGTAAAAGTAAGCCTGTTTACAGTGGAATCATTAATACAAGTCAAAGAATTTTGAACAGAACCAGAGGTTTTTCTAAAACTGTGATTCTTTTCTGTGACCTTTCATTTCTCATTGAGGCCAAAACTACTGGATGGTTGTGGTTTATCAACCACAGTCAGCTCTAACCGAGCTGTGCAACAGAAAAGAAAGAATCCAGGCTGTCGAGGTGTGATTTCAAGGTGTGAATCAATAACTGCGACACAATAAGGCTACAACGTCTCATCAACTGGAGGAATTGTTACTATACAAAGCCTACACACACACACACACACACACACACACACACACACACACACACACACACACACAGACATACACACACACACACACACACAGAACTGGATGTCATAAATCTCCTCTCCAACACCTCTCTCTATCTTTGTACTGTACAGATGACCTGATCTGAATGTATACTACTGTCCTTTAAACAGTGAAGTGTGTCATCATTTGTCGAATAAAATGCTATCATGCTGACAGGAACAGAGTGCTCTGGTATCTTCTTGAAGGTCACAGTATGGGGTTTCACAAAGGGACACACTTTTCAGGGTTGGTTGATTTTCACCTTTAGTCTAACTTTAATTTTACCTTTGCTCAGCAGGGATTTCACTGTCATGCAAATCCACCCCTGACCCTTATTCTTTGTTAAGGTTTTCTTTTTGTCAGTTTGCCCTCTAAGGACAGTTTGACAACAGAGTGACAAGAAAAAGTTGGCAGAGAAACAGAGAGCGAGGGATGATATGCAACAGAGGTCCCCGGTGGACTCAGATAGGGATATTATGTTTATGTGGTATGTGTTGTATAGGCTGTTGCTCCTCCAGGACACTTCCTCAGAATGACCTGTCTTCCACAGGTTCAGACAGCTGATATATTTCCTCTGGCAGGGGGGAGAGAGGCTTGAATCCAGCTGATAAGAGACAGTTGTGCTTGTATGTAGAGTAATAAAAATGGAACACCCTGAAGAAGCAGCAGTGTTCTTCAGAGTCTCCTTATTTACCAGCACTTATACGCACAGTGGCTTTGTTGTCTTTGAAACAATTTAAGTACCTTCATATGGAAACCCAGTGAAATAACGTCAGTGAACACATGTTGTTGACCTGCCAAACGCATCAGTCAGTTCAGTCTTTCTGCCAGCAAAAGACAAAACCAACCTTGTGAAAATCCCTTCACTGTGTCAGGTCTTAGTATAGGTTGAAAGATGAAATTCAGCTTTTTGTGAATAAAAATATCTAAATATCTAAATACATGTATCTCAACCTATATGCTACCATTTGCCTGAAATGGACTTTTATTCTGGATGCTGGCTATTTCAATCGTGGGCGCCAAGTTATTTTTTAAAACTATATGTGTACTTTCTCTGAGCCAAAGTTTTTGCGTTAACCCACACATTGCCTTATGGTGAGGCTGTGGAGACTCAAGTGAAGTCAGTTGGGGACTACACGTTTGAAAATTAAAAATACAAAACTTACAGCACATGGCTGCATCTGCCACTAGCATAACACACTCCAAATGGCGATCAAATTGACGGCGATCAAGTTGCATTGTGGGTAATGTGGATGCCACGTTTGTACAAGGAAGAAGACAGCATGGAATACAAAAAACAATATCTCTGGTTATTAAGCAGCATCGCTTTTTTACTTTCTCAAAAAGGTTACTGTTGAATAGGTGAAGTATTCTTTTATGTAAAAGTACCAACACAGCAATGTGAAGAAGTATTACAAGCAAGGCAAAAATACTTGTCCTGCAGAAAATGCTCCCTGTGAGTGAATATTACATATTATATTCATAGATTCTTCGTAATGAAGCATCAATGCATAATCAGCATTTTACTGATGTAGCTCAAGGTGAAGCACATTTTAATGACTTGATTGGGATGTCACAGTCACTGTGTTGGAGGCTTTTCCTGGCCAACTTGGCAAGGGAGTGATGTCAGTTAATTTAACTCACTTAGTTGGGACATACATACAAATAAATGCAGTGAAGCAAGAATAGGTAGCATTATGTCCCTCTGAAATGCAGTGGAGTGAAGCTTAAAGTAGAATCAAATGGGAATACTCAAGAAGTGTAGGCTACAGGACTGGAGTATATACTGTATGTATGGAGTCAATTGAAATCTCTCCGGAAGGTCAGACCTGAAATCTAATGATATCTCAGCGACAACTCTTTGAACTGTGATTAAACTCAATACTGAAGATGACGCTGGCGCAATTTTAACCAAATCTTGAAGATGGATGGATCCACTTTAACACTGCATTTTAAAAAGTTGGCCTAATATGGAGGGTTTAATCGAAGGGCAGCATTATAAATTTCTAATTCTGGAACATGTGCATGTGGCTGCTGCTGATCTAATTTAACTGAAACTGAAGAGGTGATACTAAATATTAAAACATGTCACCATGCACCAAGGCATTTTCTGAGCATTCATTGACTAAATGAGTACAGAGTAAGAAAGAATGCAGCATTCCCAGGGGATGAGGTGTTAACTTGTCTTCTGCGTTTGGTGCTAGCAGTGTGGAACAGATATGAAAGGTGGTTTGACCTCGATATTCAGCCGTGACAGGAGAGCTGCAGAGGAAGTGGAGGCAGGCTTAGGGGGGGTTACACCATCCGTCAGGACACATTCATCAGTCATGTCCACACACACACACACACACACACGCACACACACACACACACACATTTAACACTTGGAGATTTGCATTAAAACAACAATTCAAATGAGAAGAAGTTTCGAATTTTTTTGGATTATATTTTTTAGTGATGAAAATATTCTTGCCATTTAATTATAAGCTGCTTAGAACTATTGTCAGCAAGTTAAACAGGTAATAATTCCCTTTCCAATATCTGTTTATGTTGCTATGAAACCATCTTCGAAAATGCTCCCACACACTAATTTGAGACACTTTTTGGCGGATATAAGGCTGAATGATGTGACAAAACTCTCTCAAACACACAACACAAACCGGCGCACACAAACTTGTTATGTGACTCCCCAAACGTCTCAATGCAGCAATGAGGACACCATAGATATCTAGCTTCTTCAAATCTTTGGTTATATTACCGTGACTTATACAACCGCAGTTTAGGCCAAATCGCTTAATTCCGACATCCCTAATTGTAGTATTAGCAGTTTATATAATAAATGATCAATACTTGGCGTTTATGTATCGATCATTGGTATCGATACAATATTGTTACCCTAACCTATAACCTTCACCATGTCTTCACCCTAAAATGCAATGATTTATGTAAAATGCTTGTCCCCACAATTAAGGCGAGTCCCCACAATGTGACTGTGTAAACAGATTTACAGTATGTCCCCCACTCACACACAAACACATCTGTTCTCAATTCTCTGCACGCTTCCTTCTTTTTTTATCTTCAAATGGTTTTAATCATCTAAGGAAAAGCAGAAAGGCAGTTTAGCTTCCTAGCTTCCTCTTTCCTTTGCCTTTCAAAGGAGTGGAGTGAACATGGTGAGGGACACAGCTGTGGGCTCACAAGCTGCATGAATGCTGCAGTAAATGAAGCCCTTAATTACTGTAAATCAGGCTTGACCTGTATTATCAGATAGCCCATGACAGACCTGGAAGTAACCTCTTCAATATTAGTGTCCCGTCACCACCTCACAAACCTACACCTCCATGTTTCACTTTACACAGTGACTTTTTCAACTCTGTCTTCATTTTAATGATTCCATGTTTTATTCTCGTGATAAAAGAAACCGTCTGAGTGAGGCTCAGTCCTTCGACCTGCATCGTTAAAGCAGAGACTTCATTTAGGTCACCAAGATTGTATATCTGTATAAGAACAGTTCAGCTTTGAAGATCAGACGTTTTGCTTTTGAAACTTCTTCCACCGCTCTGTGCCATCCCATTTGCTTCCTATCCCTGACGCAGTCTGTAGTGTCGAGTTACTTTCAGTGAGCTGGAATGGAGAGGAAGACTGGTGTCTCTTTCCCCAAAGGGCACTGGTCCAGTCCGTATGTTAGGCCAGTGGCATGCACGCATACTCTCATGTGGTCAGAATAAAACCTTCTGCTCTGTTCTGCTTATGTAGGAGGTGCAAATATTCAAAGACAATGTTTGGAGGATTTGTTGCTTTGCTACATCCTCTTTTCTCACATCGAGTCTGCTTCTTTTTCCTGTGAGCTTTTTAATAATGAAATATATTATAATACAGATCTTGGACAGTTTTATTGGTGAAAATGCAATATTGTTGCACATTTGGCTGGAATGAATTAGTAATCCAGGCTAAAATGCATTATCAACAAATATAATCATATATAGAGAAGAATGTTTCTTTAAGCAAACAGCTTAAAGATCCAGATTGGTTTTTTCAACATTTTTATATCTCATAATCATAAAGTCCATAATAACACAATTTTAAAATTAAAATCATATTGAATTGATATATGCAAATTATTAGGAAAAACCTGTCATTACGGCAGTCATCAGCATTTCACTTTTTGAATTTATGTCCTTATAATTCTGCCTTTTGTTTCTTGATAAGTTTAAGCATTTATGACTAAATATGCAACAATTGAAATTAAAGTTTGGAGAAAAACCACATGCTTGGATATTATTTATTCAGACTTTTTAACAATCCGTAACTCAGCTAATCTTCTTCGGTTGACATTGACGTTTAAGGATCTTTAATCATCGGGATCGTTCAGGTCAATATATTGTGATCTGTGTGAAGATGCTCTTTGAGTTGTAACTATTGACAAGATATCATTTTCATATATGAGATAATGTAGTGGGATAGTTTTCATGTAATGATGAGATGCCATGTCGTAATCATGAGATGCTCAGCAAGAAATAATGTGATACCAAGTCATAGTCACTTGATGTACTGAAGTTAAGATTGCAAGAAAGTTTTTCTAAAACATTGTTTTTTTTCTTTGATGAATGCAATGTGCTTCTGTAGGGCATTCTATTACATTCTATCAGATAAAAAAGTAATCACAAAGACAATATTAAACAAAGCCAAGCCTGAAAATTCTGTGCCCAGGCCTTAATATGTTGTCAGCGAATTGTTCCATCATGAGCACCACTGTGAAAATTACCCACACCGACTCTATATGAGAGCGAAGGCAATGAGGCAAGAGAGAAGGATGAAGACATTTACTGTATGAGGTATAAAATGCTCCCCGCTGACCAATGAGAGATATAGAAGAGAAAGAGCGCCTGAATACTGAATACCTGTAGTACAAAGAGATGCTGGCCACCAACTTTAACACTTCCTGTGGTTGTAAATCAATCATCTGGGAATGATGACTCAGCACCCCTCGACATTTCCTCCCTATCGTCGGTCATACAGTGATAAAGGATTGCTTGCTCTGCAGAAAGGTTCATATGATGGGCTAATGTGCACATTTGTGGCACTTAGGAGGTGAA